TTACGTCGCAATGTCTTTAATGACGTTGAGTCGACGTCTAATGATTGCTGGGACTCAATTTTAATGAATAATGATTGGCAATGTCGTTCGGAAAAATGCATTTTAACAGCGGAAAAATCAAAAGAACGGAAATACTTCTGCTATAATTCTCCCGTAAAAACTTCACGCTAACAAATAATAGGCAGGCAATGGTGATGTTATTCGCCGTTTTCCTGCGTGATTTTATTCCATGAACACTTGACACGTCGATAGTAAATTATTGTCTAACACTTTATGATTAAAAATATCTAGCTATTTTCTTGTTTCTAACAAATTTTGGTACCCACTAATACTAGTGCTGGATGTGCACTTCCACACTTTATAAATCGTATAACATGGAAACGGAAAGCTTAAAATATTGACGTAGTTAAAAATTATGAAAAATTCTATGAATAATTTCATACAATCGTATCTTTCTTCAAGGTAGTGAAGCAAATAATACTTCCGAGAAAATTTATTGAATTTAGTAGTCTGGATATTAACTTCAAGCTTGGAATCTTGCTGAATTCCTGGAGCCGGGACGGTTTCACTTGCGACTAATCTCAGTTCAGTTGCGACTAACTCAGTTCTAGACTAATCTTAATATACCAAGAGATAATGAATTGCTGGACCGCGTCAAGTGAAGCGGCAATAGGCAAGTCGCGGCTGCTGCTTCGCCACCAGCTACGCACCAGGTTTGCGGTTCATACTGTGAAAATTGAGTTATTTTGAATATAAAGATCATAGAAAACAAAGTAAAAAGCATACAGTAACTTAAAGCAATAAATTTATACGAGGTTAAGGTAAACTAAATAATCACCTGAGATTAATCATTAAATGCCACTCAGTGTGTTAACGCACTTTTTGGAAGAATTGCATTGGGTGAGAAAAGAAGAAATCAGTTGAAGGTGGATGCTTCAGACGGAATTAAAGTAAGAATAGGTGAAGATTGGTGCGTTGAAGTAAGAGTAAAGGTTAATCGATTCGGCGTGAACTCTAAAAATAGGGCTCTAGTTGATACCTCATCTACTTAAAGTTGAATTATTGAAGTTAAATTTGATAAATTATACAATTGAAGTCTGAAGCATCGCACACGTTAATCAAGCATAGATTTCAGCAAAATAAACAAAACGAAAGAATATCGGGCAGTCAAACCAAAGAATGTATAAATCGCAGAACAAGGAAGAAATTTAGACTTATGGTTGAATGCTGGTGAAGTAGCGGCGGCAGACGACAGGCAGGCTGGAGATAATGAAATTGCATGTGGCTACGGTGGTGTATCAGTGCGAACTCTTCTAGTATTTGCGGAAAGTGCCGGAAACCCGGGTCTGACCAAAATTACCCTAACATTAAACTTACCCTAGACTAATCTTAATATTACCCAAACATAAATTACTACTAAATTCAGTTTAAAAGAATAGAAATATGATTAACGGTGGGAAATTTCCCACAATTCATCGATATTGTGGTGGAAAGTGAGGTGCTATAATTAAATGTAAAATGAGATGTCTGCTATTGTCAATGCATATGTCAATTAATGTCCTTTCAAGGCATTAATTGAAGTTATCGAGACCAAAATGAAATCAGTGCAAAAAAACAGTCACCCTTTCAGAAATAAAAACAATTTTCAGATTTGTTTCAGACCCGTGTAAACAAAGTTAAACTTGTAAGAAAAGCAGACTGGGTTACCAATTTTTCCCGGTGCATTTTTGCGGTCGTTCTTGAGTGGCGGATAAATGATCGTTATACGTGTACGTTTGTATGTGGCGAATAGTTGATTGATTGACGAACAATTGACGAATAATTGATCGATTTCGGCGAATAATTGATCGTTTGCAGGAGGCGAATAGTCGATCGTATATATAAAGGCGAATAACTAATCATGTCCACGTGGCAAATAAATGATCATTCACGCGTGGCGAATAATTGATCGTGTGTGTATGGCGAAAAATTAATCGTGTACATGTGGCGAATAGGTGATCGCTCACACGTGGCGAATAATTAATCGTATGCATGTGGCGAATAATTAATCGTGTGCATGTGACGAATAAGTGATCGGTTGCATGTGGCAAACAACTGATCGATCGCAATAAGTGATCGTTTTCTTGTGACGAAAAATGACCTGTATGATTGATATAGCCTGCATGTGACTGATCTTTTGCTTCTGGTGAATGTCGTATGTATGTCGTATAGTATGTGATTTTTGCTAATTTTGTTAATAGGGACCCAATGCGGTGGACGACATCTGAGTTGCTCATAATTTGGTGCGGAATTAAGATTCGAAGTCACCATCAAAATGAGGGCACCATCACATGAGGGCAAAAAGTGCTTTTTTCTTTACATGAATTTAGAACACATTTTAAAAATCAGTATAGCACATCCAATGAGAGTTATACGTGTACGTCGTTTGTATGTGGCGAATAGTTGATTGATTGGTGAATAGTTGACTAATAATTGATCGATTGCGGCGAATAATTGATCGTTTGCAGGTTCGAATAGTCGATCGTATATATATATGGCGAATAACTAATCATGTGCACGTGGCGAATAAGTGATCACTCTCACGTGGCGAATAATTGAACATATGTGTATGGCGAATAATTAATCGTGTGTATGTGGCGAATAAGTAATCGGTTGCATGTGGCGAACAAGTGATCGGTCGCATGTGGCGAGTAAGTGATCGTTTTCTTGTGACGGAAAATGACCTGTATGATTGATATATAGGCATATAGCCTGCTTGTGATGGATCGTTTGCATCTGGTGAATGTCGTTTGTATGTCGTGTATGGGAGGCTCCGCTAATTTTGTTTATAGAGACACAATCTACATGCGGTGGACGACGTCTGAGTTGCTCATCCTTTGGTGCGGAATTAAGATTTGAAGTCACCATCAAAATGAGGGCACCATCACACGAGGGCAAAAAGTGCTCTTTTCTTTACATGAATTTAGAAAACATTTTAAAAATCAGTATAGCACATCCAATCATTGTAATCAACGTAGAAACTATTTAGCCATCTTTTCGATCAATATTTAAGTAATGCATTTAGATGAAAATTTATTCTATGTTTTATATATACGAAAATCAGTCTACGGCCTTCTACAAAAAAAAAAAATCCGAGCTGAGATATAGACTTTCCTCAGTCGGACTCACAGAGCATTAATTATTGTTCGAAGAAATGCAGTAATGAAGGTTTGGTCAATGCATTAATACTCGTCCGATGTTTTATGAAAATTTGTGACAAATTCTGCATAAATTACTAAATTCCAAATTGTCATAGTTAGATAAAGTGTGGGTTGTTTTTAAATTTATATGCAAAGTCAATTCTACTTTAGATTAGGATATGACGGATTCGTTGCAACTTGTCATATGAACTAAGCATTTAAATCAAAGAAAACGCCAAAAAATTCATTTTGTCTGCAGTGAAAACTTATCGGAGTCCGGCTCCATCAGGACAAAAACTTCATCAAAACGATTTTTACCAGAATAGGACCTTCAAATTGCCTAAGGAATGCAAAATCTATTGCAACGGTTTCAAGTGGTTACGAACTCATAACATCGTTTACTCAGGTGACGTCATAGTTTAAAGAAGGTGAAAGAGTACCAGCGAAACTTGAAAAGGACAAAATTTAATAAAGAGTGTTCAAAGACGTGCAACAAGGATAATTCCCTGCTTGAAAGGCAAGTCCTATGAGGAAAGATTAAAGATATGGAGCTTCCAAGCTTCAGTTATCGACGTCTGCGTGGGGACCTCATTGAAGCATACAAGTATACTCATGGTTTATACAAGGTCCCAGAAGGATTACTAGAGTTTGAAACGGGAACCAACACCAGGGGCCACGGCTATAAACTAAAAAAACTGCGTTGTAACACCTCCATACGACAACATTTCTTCTCGCTTCGAGTCACCGACATGTGGAACAGCCTCCCTGATAGCATCGTTGACGCTCCGAGTGTGAACGCCTTCAAGAACAGACTAGACGAAGCTTTGCAGGAGCATATGTTCAGTCATAAAATTCCTAGCAAATTACGGACCAGGCAATAAGTCCAGCAGCCATCTCAATCAATCGTCAGTTATGGAAAGATCGGGTTCCAAAGGACGGATCCCTTGTGAATCAAGTCACGAAAAATACATGAATCGGCAACAGGCCATGGACCTATTTCTTCAGTGCCGACACTTCTATTCTATCCTTGAATTTCTGCCCAATTTAGGCAAGTCCTGCCTTCAACACTCAATTGCGGTGAAGTTTTTGAGCAACGACAATATTCTGTCTAGTAAATTTCGTTTAATTATCCTCATACATTCCTAGCGCATATTGTTTGAAGTAACCATTTCAATTATTAAATGATTAACACTTCAATAGCTATTCGAGGAGAATAAATGAGCTTGTGGCTCAAGGATCAATTCATACACTGCAGTCACTAGCCAATCACGAGCCAAATTTCAGTTTGAGGAGGACTCCTCTAAACTGACGCGCTCACTTCAGCCGACCTCAAGCGTCAGGCGGACGAGAGACAAAGCAAAGATTATCAGAAGGCCATGCAACAAAAAGACAGGTTAGTGAAACTCTTGTGTGTGCAGAATTTCGTCATAAGGAATTTAAAAGCAAAGAAAACGCCAAGCAAATTCACCATATCGTTATTGAAAACAGAAAGCGAAGTTTTCAATATCGACATGTTGAATTTGCTTGGCGTTTTCTTTGCTTTTAAATTCCTTGGGAAATTGCGATTTAAGCAGACTGATAATAAAAGTTTGTTACTCGTAGGTAACTAGCAAAATTTGACACCACAGGCAAGAAAATTCTAGTAATATATTAGTACACATACCATGAGTACTGCTAGTAATTCTTGGGTTATGCGTACTTATGCGACATATGTTGTTATGAGAACAACATAGAAGCGTTGAAACATAATTCTTATTCATTTCCTTATGACTAAACAGCCGGTGAAAGCATGGACGGATTTTAGGTCTAGGAAACATCGACTAGAAAAAAGTATTTACTTCAGGCCTAGCAGATCACAGGACATAGTGGCTTGGATAATTTACTAATATCGACTTCATCGAAGCTAGGACTCAAACTCTAAACATGTGAAATTATAGATCAAAAGAGCGACGAAAGCTTGCAATACAATGTTTTTTTTTTTAAATACTGACGTAAACTTGTACTTTCCGACTAGGTGAGTTCATGCGTCTTCTAGACAAATAGAGCTCATTGTAAAGATACCCCAGTCTAGGTCCTGCCTTATAATCGAAATGAACGCTCATAAACGAAAGTAACTCTGACTAGCAATGTAATGTATACGTGTACGAAATACGAATAGATAGAAAAAATGACTAGTAAATAGATAAAATGACTAGAATGACAGTGGTGACACGTGAAATGTGTTCACGCCATTGAGCTACAAATTAAAAGCTACACGTATTTAAATTTAGATTCTAGGACTTGTGCTATCGAAAATCTGATCTTATACCAAGAGAAAAAAGTCGTGCAATGATGGAATGAGGCAACAAATTTCGAACAGAACGATGGTTAGAGAGAATCAAGAAGACAAATACATCCGGTGATTCAATCGACGAAAAAAGGTTCCAACATTCATAGGATCTAATATGCGGATTACAAATTTTACAATGTAAAATTTACATTGTGAAATGGCATTGCATATGCCGTGTTGCACTACGATGTCCTCCTGATGAGGGAGGCGAGATACAACCACACGCTCGTCACCCTGGCAGGGCACTACGATGTCCTCCTGACGAGGGAGGCGAGGTACAGCCACACGCTCGTCACCCTGGCAGGGCACTACGATGTCCTCCTGACGAGGGAGGCGAGGTACAGCCACACGCTCGTCGCCCTGGCAGGGTAAGGGTTCGTGTAGACGGCGACGGCGAACTCGACGTCAGGAGCAGCGCACGTGTGCACGGCGGCGCTGCGGGCGGCCGTCAGCAGCGGTCCGATGCCGCACCAGCCTTGCTGGATGCACACGCCGCATATCTGCCGCAAATGAAAATGAAATATCGGCCGTAAATGAAATTATTATCCTCAGCAGCACCAGCTCTGCCGTATTTAGTACAGTTCAGTACAAGTACAGTAATTAGTACAATACAAGTACAGTAATTAGTACAGTACAGTGCAAGTACAGTAATTAGTACAGTCCCGTCATATCGATATCAATATCTAAACTGTCATTGAGGCCGATTGAAATGTCAAAGTTACCAGACGAATAAATGAAGCTTTGATAAACGGTAATCTAAATAAAAGTGAAAGGATTTAGGGACGTGAAAATTGTGCAGTAAAAACAAAAAAAAAATCCTAACTTGTATTTCATAGAAAAATTATCCTACAGGAAAACAATGTACAATTATCGACTTATCAAAACATACTCGTACATTTCTGAAAAGCATGACTTCAAGTACTTAATGAAGAGAAAACTTTTTTTTTAAATGACTAAATTGCTCTCATGCTAGTTTCACAATTTGAAAGTAAAAGAATAATAACGAAATGATTGAATGAAGCAGTCACTATGTTAATATGGTGCATCGCAATTACCGAGTGCGACTGGTGGAGTCGCAGCAGCGGCGCGGAGGGAGGGGGCGCCGCCCCACCACTCGCCCTTGGGGCCTCGAGCCGACGGACGACTCCCCGCAGCACGTCGCATGCGTGGCGGTTCCACACAGTCCTGCGTCAGGAGTTAGAGATTTACAAGCGAGCTACAACTTAGGGCAGATAAGAAAGCACGTGCAAATATCTCAAGATTTCGAATGTAATGAAATAAAATAATTACTTGAGAAACAAATTCATCTGAGACCAAATCTTTGTAAAAATGACCACTCGTATATAAACTCCAATCGTTCGAGACAGTTTTTTGGCAACACGCCTCGGCGAAGTTGGACATTATGTCGCGCAACCACAGCGGGACATGTAGTAGTAGTATAATGGTTTGCTAGCGCTTCAACTATCAAGCTATTTCGCACCGGAGGTCAAAATATAACATCGCCAGCAAGGCGGAAGGTCTCAATTATTCAAAATATAAAGTTAATCATCAAGGGGCGGAGGGTCTCAATTGTCCAGCCCGCTGAAGCTGGCTCGAAAGAAGCAGCTTTGGCATCTCAAAGAGACGAAGTGACAAGGAGGGACAGGTGAAAAGCAACAGAAACGAAGACACTCGAACAAGAGGTCGCTTACACGGGACGTCGGCCGCCCGCACGAGAGAGACAGAGGAGGGAAATGTAAGGAATCCTACCTACATAATAACTTAACCCCACAACTGAGACCTGCAGTCAGACACCGCGAGCTCAGCGGTGGGGCGCTCAGGAACAATCCCCCTAGGAGCGCGAAATCCCATAGGACTTCTGACGCGCACAGACACGCGTCAGAAGTCTCCCTTGAGGGGTCACAGCGGGACAATTAAAGTATTTCGTAATACCAGAATTCAGGATAATCCATCTAACAGCGACCGCAATTCTACTTGCATAAGGAGTATGTCAAGTAATGGAGGTTTATGAGTCAGTACCCAGACTGTAACCTGGGATATTGTAGCAATTGAACTGAAAATGAGGAAGATAAACTCATTTACCATGTATTTAAAAGGATTCCATTCTTCGATGCCAATCTAGAAAAGGATACACAAAAACTACAATTGCCTAACTTTTTAAAATCACAATTGTAAATTATTTGGTCATTTTTCTTACTCGAAAAAAATCACGAGAGAGAATCTTACGTCAATACTGAGCAAAGAATTCTGAGAAAGTCATCAGCAATGTTCATCTCATCACTAAAACTACTAACACCAATACAAACTCGATTTATTCGAATATTACTTATTAAGAGGTCGCCACTTCATGAAAGCGTCGCGCACGATGAGCGTGAGCTTCTCGCGCAGCTCCTTGTCGTGGTGCTGCGCAGGCGGGCCGTACTCGATGGTCCTGGGCTGCACGCACGGCGCAGGGGGCGCGCTGCCCCCGCGTAGTGCGCGCCACGCGCCGCTGTCGTCCACGTTGAACTGCACGCGCGCGGGGTCGTCAAACTTCTGGCAGTTACCCCACACCTGCACGGTGTAATGGAGAGGTAATGAGATGGAAAGGTGATGAGGTGGAGAGGTGATGAGATGGAGAGGTGATGAAATGGAAAGGTAATGAAATGGAAAGGTAATGAAATGGAAAGGTGATGAGATGGAAAGGTAATGAGATGGAAAGGTGATGAGATGGAAAGGTGATGAAATGGAAAGGCAATGAGATGGAAAGGTAATGAGATGGAAAGGTAATGAGATGGAAAGGTAATGAAATGGAGAGGTAATGAAATGGAAAGGTAATGAAATGGAAAGGTGATGAGATGGAAAGGTAATGAATTGGAAAGGTAATGAAATGGAAAGGTAATGAAATGGAAAGGCAATGAAATGGAAAGGTAATGAAATGAAGAGGTAATGAAATGAAGAGGTAATGAGATGAAGAGGTAATGAGATGGAGAGGTGATGAGATGGAAAGGTGATGAATTGGAAATGTAATGAAATGGATAGGTAATGAAATGGATAGGTAATGAAATGGATAGGTAATGAAATGGATAGGTAATGAAATGGAAAGGTATTGAAATGGAAAGGTATTGAAATGGAAAGGTAATGAAATGGAAAGGTAATGAAATGGAAAGGTAATGAAATGGAAAGGTAATGAAATGGAAAGGTAATGAAATGGAAAGGTAATGAAATGGATAGGTAACGAAATGAATAGGTAATGAAATGGAAAGGTGATGAAATGGAAAGGTGATGAAGTGGAAAGGTAATGAAATGGAAAGGGAATGAAACGGAAAGGTTATGCAATGAAAAAGTAATGTAATCGAAAGGTAATGAAATGGAAAGGCACAGGAAATGGATAGGTATAAAGAAATCGCAAGGTAATGAAATAGCAGGGAATTAAATTGAAAGGTAATGAAATCGAAAGGCAATGAAATGGAAAGGTAATGAAATCGAAAGGCATAAATGGAAAGGTTATGAAATAGAAAGGCACAGGAAATGGAAAGGCATATAGGATGTTGGTGTTGAAAGCTCATTTCAAAATTTTAAAATAATGTACAGATAAATGCCAGAACTGGAAAATAACGATGAGCGACGGTTGAACGGACGCTTATCGTGTTGAATCATATTAAAATACTCGATAGCTTTGATCTCTAAGAGGAGTAAGAAAATTTCAACAATGGGCTCGTATCATCATTGCATCGCAGTGTCCATGCGATGGTTCACTTTCATTTCATTCGAGATAATCTTAAAAAGAAATTCGATCAAAACTTGTAGGTTATCAACGCTGAAACTTGGATATCAGATACACCAAAAATCCTTATAATCGCATGCCTCGACATGGAAAGCGAAAAATGTTTGCAGCAAAATCTAATAATAAAAGAAAGATCAAACTACACTCAGGTCATGGCGAATAAATAACAGTCACGTTACGGTTTTATAAGGCCTCAAACAAATACGACATAACATAAATACATAAATACGACTCAAACATAAATAAAAATATTAAGGTCTTATAATTAGCAATTCTAGAGTTGTTAAAAATGACGACGACTTAAATGCCAATTTTTGGATGTTACAATGGAAGAGAATGTATAAAAAAATACACTTGCATTGTGCTGGTTGACCAAGGCATAGACGGACTTGACAGGGCAGAATGGGTCGCGGGTTGAGTACACCATAGCGGAGGCTGGGCACCAGATTTTCCAGGAATGCTTCCCTTCAACGACGCTGCTGTGGCGGGGGCCTCTGGAGGCAGCAGGGGCGGCTTCTGCAGGTGTTGCTGCTGGGGGACCTCCTCGCACCAACGTGCACCAGAGCTGCCCTTCACACACGCTGCTGCCTGTGGATGGACATCTCATTAGGGGACTTATTCTTCTTATTATAATCAGATTATGTATTGTTTGGTATGACTAAGTAAAACTATGATATAAGTCGTAAGAATCAATATTTTTTCTCTCTTCAGAAGGGTTATCTTCAGAATCATTCAGCTTCGAAGCTGCGGAACTGGCATCTAAATTCAATTCTAAAGCATTTGGTGAGATTAACTTTCATATGTTAGCTTCAATTTCGACAGTTGTTGCTGATGTTCCCCGAGTCCTGGTCACGCAAGGAAACCCTCGCTACACAGAAAAGCCGCCACCCGACCCCCACGAATGACTGTCTGGCAGTTAAGTAGTGGGCAAGCTAGCGCCTGGTGTTGTTTTGTAGTGTTTTATTGTAGATTTTTTCTGTGAGTCGGAGGCGCGGGATGGCATCAAAGGCTTTGGTAATGTAGATTGTAATCAGGAGTGTGCGGTGCGCCGGTGCGCTTGGAGTTAATGCCATCATGTATACGTTGTGTGAGGACCCATCATGAGGGCGGGACTGACCCAGCATGAGGGCGGGACTGACCCAGCATGAGGTAGGCGTCGTAGCCGAGGTGCAGGAAGAAGTTCGTCAGGAGCATCGCGCGCTCAGCTTCCCCCCCACACGCGTGCCTCACGAATTGCTGCACAGAACAACCCGCATCACACATCAACATTCAAATATAAGATGCTTCGGACAAATTAAATTCATCAATTAGCGGTAATAAATAGCTCATTGAAGTTGTTACTGTTAATTACTACGCTAGAGCAACAGTAGATCAATAAAAAGAGATAGTTTCAAGTTATCGTACGGTACTTCAACTCTCTAAGATAACAGCAACCATCATATATGTGGTTTTTATCCAAAGGCCTGACGAGTTAAGGGCGATAGACGAGATGTTAAATAACTTGTTAGTGGTAATCAAAGGCCAGACAAGTTAAGGCCAATAAACGAACGGTTAAATAACTCGTAATTGATAATAATATTGAACATGTTGGCGCATGACTGACATCAGACGTTGCAGTGATGTTGAGACAGTCTGGCAGGAGGCTCATGTCTGGTAGCGCAGGCAGCAGCGACACGAACCACGCCACTTTGCACTGCACCTGCTCAGCCGGCTCCGCTGTGGGTGGATGAGGCATTGAGTGAGGCAAAGTGTACAAATAACGATGCTGCACTGCACTAATTATAGCAGCCAGTGAAGCAACGTATACGAGTTGCGCTACTTCACTCACTTATGTTTTGCCATTTTTTAAAATGAAAGAAAAGAAAAAGCATTGAATGGCGGGAATGTTTTGCCATTCTTTAAGATGCAAGAAAACAAAGCCAAGTAGGCTGTTTACTATGAACATTATCTCCTCATACGAAGTTCGTTCAAACCTGGAGAATTTTTTTGTTCAAAGATCAACGTTACTTCCGAGTTATACGTCATGAATTTAAAGTGATTATCAACGTATTTATACTAATACATTGATGTCTCGTACTTTTTGCAATTTACATCATACATTCGCTCCAACACCAGGGGCCACGGCTATAAACTAAAAAAACAGCGTTGGAACACATCCATGCGACAACATTTCTTCTCGCTTCGAGTCACCGACATGTGGAACAGCCTCCCTGATAGCATCGTTGAAGTTCCGAGTATGAACATCTTCAAAAACAGACTAGACGAAGCTATGCAGGAGCATATGTTCAGTCTTAAAACGCCTAGCAAATTACGGACCAGGCAATAAGTCCAGACGAAGCTATGCAGGAGCATATGTTCAGTCTTAAAATGCCTAGCAAATTATGGATCAGGCAATAAGTCCAACAGCTATCTCAATCAATCGTCAGCTATAGAAAGATCGGGTTCCAAAGGCCGGATCCCTTGTGAATCAAGTCACGAAAAGTTCAAGAATTGGCAACAGGCCATGGGCCTATTTCTTCAACGCCAACACTTCTATTCTATTCTATTATGGGCAGGGTTCAGCGGGAAATAAGTGCGATGTCACAACTCACCGCTGGAGGTGATGTCAGGCGGAGGTATGGGTGTGATGAAGCGGTCGAGGGTGGTGAGCTGACCAGACATGGTGTAGCTGCAGCACACGTACAGCCGCTGCGGGTGGTGGCTCTGTAGCCATGACAGCCAAGACTTGCACGGCGACGTCAAGACGTCTCCACTTGACGACAGCAGCTGATATTTTCGTAAGATTTCAGTTCAGTTCAGTAATATTACAGAAGGAAATTCGATACTCGATTTGTAGAGAAATTGAGATAACTTAATTGCTGCTTTCAACATGGGTACAACAAAAAAAAAAAAAACAAGCATCATTCATATTATACCTTACACGAAAAATAATCCATCATTGCGTATAAAATGAAAAGTACTCTAACTAGGAAATATTTAGTAACGATTTATGCAAGTGCCTGCAGCATTTGCAACAAAAAAAAAGCTAGAGGTGAAAAAATTTCACCTAGACTTCACATCGGTAAAACCTCAGCAGCGGCATTATTGCGCGGTTTTGAAGCGTTTTGGACAGCGACAAGTGAACAAAGGAGCATTTGATGGTGATGAAAAATATCATGAATTTGATTTCTTTCAAGTATCTCCGATCATTCTTTTATTAACTATACATTGCTTGTTCTTTGGCTGATGATACATTTTGCATAGTGTTTCGCAGGATTTCACAAACGGCGTACACAACATGTAAAGATAATACAAACACCAAGCAATCCTTGTCTGACTCGTCAACAGTAAACCGAAATGCAAGCGCAGTCTACTCTCAACGATAGTCAGAGTTCACCAGAAATTAAGCATTCCCTCATACATTAACATAAATTTAAAGCCGCATAAATATTTACAAATACCACAAATACTAACAGCAGGTTCAATTCTGGGCGGCTGAGGGAGCGCGGGCTCGAGGGTGAGGTACAGCGTGATGGTCGTGGCGCCCGCCTCACCGGGGCGACCTCTGCCGTCCGCCCCCCGGCGGTACCCCAGCAGCGCCACGGGGCTCGACATCTCGAACGTCCCCTCAACCTGCAACAGGGACGGCAGGTGAGCTCAGGGGGGACGCGAGGCATGCGGTGGTATGTAGCAGCCATCCTTACTTCTTGATTTGGTACACAAAAGAAATAGGTTATTTTTTGTCAACCTGGTTGAAAAATTTTTTCCTGTTCTTTTCATTACCAGCTCTGTAACAGAAAACAATAAAACTTGTTTCACACCAGTAGTCCAGCCTCTAGACTACCTAGCCTTCAAATGTTTGTCTCGAAAACTTTCCAGTTTAGCATTAGCAATTTAGATCTATACAGGCACCTCGTAACAGAAGTGGTGCATTGACGCTGCTTATGACCCCAACAATTGTTGGGATAGGAAATGGAAATGAGGGAAAACGGAAGCACAGACAAGGGAAGAGGGCACACTACAGCAAATATAAAAATAGGCGTCGAGCGAAGGTAAGTTTTTAGCGAAGGATGACCGAAGCATCTGCGATGCTTCTTTTCCGATGACAGAAGCCATCTGCACCACTCGCCTTGCAGGTGTTCCGCAGCAGCGCCGCCGTCGGGATGCGCAGGCTCGCCAGCCACGTGCTGTGCAGGCGACTGCGTACGGCCGCGCTCCCTGCTTCCGCAACATCCACGTCGTCCGCTGCAGCCACAAGAAAGATTAACAAGAAAATATTAGGAAATGAAGACCAAGGGAGCAACAAAAGAGACAAAAATAACATAATCGAACAAGAATAGTCACCGTTGGACACAGCAATTTTTTATGCATTAAAACAACGACATTAAGTATTGTCCTTATTTTGCGCTAATTTCGTAGGTTAAATGCGTTTTTCGTGAAGTAGGTTCCCAATAATTAGTTCTTGCTATGACTGATAAACCTTATTGAAGGTTAGAAGGACTAGAAATAGTTTCCGAACAAGAAGAACAACTACAATTTTCTTTGAGCAGAAGTTAGTGCAATAAAATTTTACCCATTGAAGATGAGAGGGCGGATATGGTGTAGGTACTCAGTACATATTAAGCGTCTGTACATATAAGACATATAAGAAGCGTCTGAAACTTCCGATGTGAACGGCTCACCGCGAATAGCGATAATAAACTCTTCAAGCAACAGCGGTACGCCGGCTCCAGGTTAATAAGAACAACACACGTAATTAATAACTTTCGTACCACAGCGAACTTAATTCTCCAGAAGTTGTATGGGCTCGAGGGCGAGGTGTTGCAAACTCGAGGGTGAGGATAATGGGCTCGAGGGTGAGATCATGCACAGGCCTGTTCATTGTCACATACTATGGGTAGATAGTATGTATATGGAGGGAAAGCACATGTAAACAGTATTTAATTATGTATCAATAATCGTCATCTGCCATAGTTGAAGAACAAAGTAAGTTGATGACCGTTACTCGAGGTAAAGATTGCAAATCGAGTGCACTTCCATGGCCTTCTCTCCGTAAAAAAAACTGTAAACTCAGTTAAAATTTAGTACTTGTCAGGTGATACTCTGTAAACGATCGAGCCACCTGGGCCTGTAGCTATCTACCCAGAGGCGACCTACAGGCTGGGACATGCGGGACGGTGACTTACAGGCTGGGGCAGGCAGGTCGTGACTTACAGGCTGGGGCAGGCAGGTCGTGACTTACAGGCTGGGGCAGGCAGGTCATGACTTACAGTCTGGGACAGGCAGGTCATGACTTACAGGCTGGGGCAGGCGGGTCGTCGATGACGCGCTCGTCAAACAGCTGCAGAACGACCTGCTCTCTCACGAGACCTGCACTGGCCTGTTCCTCGCCGCCGGGCCTGCAACGAAGTGCACTTAATATTCTGCTGGTTTTTAGCATCTGAACTGCCACGACTATGACAAGTCATGATGTGCACTCTACCGCGTTTCTTTGTCTCGCGTTACAGAAATAGTATGACACATTCTCCTGATGTACACAGAGGCTTCTTTGACCACCCCTCTTACGACCATCAACTTCTCCTAAAAAAGGATAATATTTACGTGATGCTTTGACCGAAGTAAAAATCGAGTCTTTTCTTATTAGATTTGTGAAGCTTCTTAATATTACCAAGCTTTAAGTGCCCAAAAGCCGCGGTAATTCCAGCAACGGCACAAAAATCAAAATGAGGAAGCTGAAAGAATTGTTATGGCGTGACGTCTTATGAAAAAGATACAACAGCAACCAAGTGGCTTGTGGGAGCCCAACACAAAGCATTCGTCCGTCCATCAGAGATACTACTCCATTACGCCACGAAACACGCAGCACCCACCTGAAGGGGAGCACGAGCTGCTGGTTCCAGGTGGGGTTGGCGCCCTGGGCGACGCTGGTACGCGCGTCGCGCCCCTGGAATGACACCGTCACGTACGGCCGCACGCAAGGGCACGCGCCTTCTGTACACCAACCAGACCATCAATTATCTCACTGAATAATTTACTGAGTACTCTACTGAGTAAAAGTTCAAAATATTGAAAAAAAATGTCGAGCAACTTGTGCCGAGGTTAAATGCTACACAGCAAAATATAATGTTAAAATTCAAGCAATATAAGAATACAAAGAAATACCATACAATACAATGGGTCGATGTATGGAAGGTTGCAGTATAGGGGGACTTACCGTCGCGGGAGAGGGCGCTGAGACTGGCCTCGGGGTCGAAGTCTTCTCTGACGGGGACGTTGAAGGCGCGCGCCACGTTCAGGATGAGGGACACACGTCGCCCCGGGACCACGGCGCCCCCTGCACGCACCACACCGCGCACCTTGCGGTCTGGCTTGAGGGGACGCTTGGGACGCAGCAGCGACATCAGTGACACACCCAAACTCCTGCAGTAGGTACACGACAGTCAGATATAACGGGCAACTCTACCTAGCTCTGCTATGAGACGTCAATCCTGATGCTCTTGATTTGACACCGCGCCATTAGAGAACACTTTAGAAACATTGACATCAACCATTGACTCGAAAAATATTAGTCGGAACAAACGCTTAGTGCTGACACTTGTCATTTTTTTCAGGGTATACGAGATAAAACTCAAAGACGCGAGCAATTAAAAATAAAAATCCGTTTTCGCTTGTAAAATCCATTGTTGAATTGAGCAGAAATACTGAGAAGACGAGTGCAAACTTGTTAGTTTCCTGGGCCTATACTTTCAAAAAAAGTTAAGAGATCGTAAGTTCATCAGCCAATCATTGACGTCCTTTCAAGCAAAATCCACCAATCATAGACAAGAAAATAGAGCGTAAGCACTCACGTTCACTTAGCGAGTTTTGAAAGTATGGCCCCAGGCTGAGAAATTCAAAAGAAAGTTCCACTCAGTAATGGCGAAGGCGAAACGAAGAGAAAGTCAGGTTAGATAACTAGATGTCTGTGACGGATGGACAAGGTTTCTAAATAAGTTTGCAGAGAATCATCATTATGGTCTCAAAAGCAGAGAAGTAAACCAGTTTTGCATTATCTATGGTTTTTATCATATTGATACTGACACACACCGCAATTCACATTCAGCAAACCTGACAAGAAAATATCCTTAACGACCCATTAGCATATGTGGTTATTATCCTCACCCAATGTCAGGAATCTGTTCCTCTTGTACCATGTCACCAGGAGCGGGCACGGCAGCAGCGTCAGCCGTCCTCTGCAGCAGCCGCCGGCGCACTGAACCCACCAGTCGCTCAGCACCTGCACGAGTTCAGTAATTTGAAGTTCCGACCGTATTTGGAAGACCACGGCACAAACACCAAGATTACTGCTAGTGTCCCTGAAGAGATGCCGAGCACTGAAAGCTGGCGAAATACTTTTTTACGCTATATACCATAATTTCACTAACATTTTACGATCACGTACTAAACTGAAATTCCTCATTGTCACCGGGTCCCACTAGAAACAACACTGGGCATCAACACTGCGGAACATTTGATGTTTATAAGCGATACAGAAGAGAGAATGAACTGAAACAACCAATGACCCTAAATAACGCAGCAAAGTCCAAACCTCATCGCGTCGCATATTTGAAGCAGGAATACCAAGACTTAGCCTACCAAACAAAACAACAGCACAACCCCCACAAGGGCCAGCGTCAGGACGGGCAGGGTAAGACCACAAATCACACACAGCACCAACAAAATATTCAACCCGGACCAGTAAGTACACTAGATATAGCGGTAATTGCGGCGCAAACGTCAAACTAGAGAGCCAAGCTACAGCTTATTGTTTTTAAAATCAAAAGAGACTAAGTAGACTACATTGCTGCCTCACCAGCCAGCTGCTCAGCCACATCGTCCAGCCAGTCGTCATCGTCGGCGTCGGATGGCTGAGCGTCGTCCATCAGTGACGTGCTACTCGGGGAGGAGGCAGCATCGTGCATCTTACCGTTCTGAAGATAATATTTTTAACTTAGCAACACTGTAAAGATAATATAACTTAGTAACACTGTAAAGAGCTGCAAGTATGACGCTCAGGAAGCAAACAGTCCAGATATCTAGAAAGCAAGGGAAATAATAAATGAGCACACAAACGAAAATATTTCCTAAGTTATATTTAAACGAGTAATTGAGATATGCAAGCAATAAAATTCAACACACTTTAGGTTTTCAATGCAACAAAAAGCGAGATTTTGAACAATTTTAAGAACGCTGTTTAAAGGTTGGAAATTTAATGAAGAGAGTGAAGGATCGTCCAAGGATCCACTCAAATTTGACTGGGTCATATTGTTTAAATAATAATGCATTTTCTTACCCCGAGTAAGAACAGAGAGCAGACGTATCACTGATATGCCTTTTAGCCGTTGTAAACTATGTCAGGATGACCCTCACAAGGGTATAATTTGCACAGCTTCTTAAACATAGTCTCACACATGTCTGTGTGAATAAATACGTGCGGCGGTGCGCAGTATGCATAGGTAATTTGCACAGTTTCTTGGACCAAGTCTCACATACATCTCTGTGTAAATAAATACGTACGGCGGTGCGCAGTATGAATAGGTAATTTGCACAGCTTCTTGGACTAAGTCTTACACATTTCTGTGTAAATAAATACGTACGGCGGTGCGCAGTATGCATAGGTAATTTACACCGCTTCTTGTACCAAGTCTCAGTGTCTCACACATTTCTGTGTAAATAAATACGTATACGTACAGCTGTGCGCAGTATTTGTGAGGCAAGAGGCGGGATGCGGCTGAGGTGCGCACAGTGCGGCGCGCGCAGGTGTCGCAGGCGCAGCAGTTCATGGCGCGCGTCGCTGGTCAGCTGCGCGCGGGAGCTCAGCCACGACGCACCGCAGCTCTCGCCGTCACACTCGAACACGGGCGCTGCTTCTTCAGTGTTATCCTTCTGATTGTAAGTGTAGTCATGTATAATTACTATAGTAAATAATAGAAAAACATGCATTTAGGTATAAAGTTATAAAATTAACTCAAGAAACTGCGATATCCTCACAATCATGCTGGAATTTCACGTTTAGACGGACGAGAAAATTCACAGTACTTTAGGGTAAACAAACACGATTATCAGCTATAATTCGATTATTTAACCTTCACAGGGAAATCTAAATAAATAATATTATAACGTGTGATATATAACGTGTAATATAATTACCTATATAACGCTATATATATTATTATAACGTGTGATATATAACGCGTAATATAATAGCAGGGCATGTTAACTCACATGCACAGCTGCTGCTGGAGGCGTCAGCTCTGCAGGTCTTTCTCCAGCATCACACTCGCCAGCCTGCAATACAAATGAGAATAAGAGTAAAATAAGTGAAGTTGATACAAAACAATCACGGCTCGACATGATTAAATACATGAGTTACGAATAAGTACATATTTGAGGTTTACAAGTATTATAAGAAGACAACAAGAAGACAAGTTTTATAATGAAAATAATTGAAATTAATACAAATGAATGACAATTTGAGATAATTACATGTATCAGTTACGAATAAGTATATATTTGTGCGGTATTATAAAAAGACAAGTTATATAGTGGCAGGAGATATGAAGTACCGAGGGTTTAGCGAGCGCTGCACCCCCGAGCAGACGGCAGCGCGCCCCCAGCCGCGCCCTGGTGGGGAGGTGGCCGAGCTCAGGGTGCTCGTGGCCTGCGCCCACGCCCGCGTGTGAGTAGCAGAACATCTGTCATCATAAGGAGTAACTGTAAACATTTATTTTAGAAACATATATGACTAAATTTATTACATGATAAGGAGCAATTATAACGTTTATTTTAGAAACATATATGACTAAATTCATTACATGCTAAGGAGCTATTATAACGTTTATTTTAGAAACATATATGACTAAATTCATTACATGCTAAGGAGTTACTATAAGCATTTATTTTAGAAACAAAAAAGACTAAATTCATTACATGTTAAGGAGTTACTATAAACATTTGTTTTATTAACATACAAGACTAAATTCATTACATGCTAAGGAGTTACTATAAACATTTGTTTTATTAACATACAAGATTAAATTCATTACATGTTAAGGAGTTACTATAAACATTTGTTTTATTAACATACAAGACTAAATTCATTACATGCTAAGAAGTTACTATAAACATTTATTTTAGAAACAAACAAGACTAAAGTCACAAGGAATGGAGCGGAGGCACAAATGCAAACAAAAATATTTATAAACGACCTTTGACAGAAATGAATTGATTATAAGTATAGGTAATAATAAGTCTAATATGTATAAGTAAAAAAAATTTACATAAGTATAATAAGTGTCACCGGCCAGAGCTAGTGCAAGTCAATCTAAACGTTAGGCCTGTAATTCGCAATCAGGATCGAATGCTCACCGCTCATAGGCCAGGACAATATATTAATAAATTCCAGGCTACTGTGCTCATTCATCTGACCTACAATGCCGTTCAACTCTCCTAGTCATTGTCAGTTAAAGCCGGTTCAGTGGCCATGGAATAATCATGACAAAACACACTTAAAATAGTTTATTGAATCACTTGGTTTAAAATCAGTAAAATCAGGTAAAGGTAGCTGTAGGGAGTATCAGCGGCTCTTAAGAAGTCGCTCTCTCGTCCAGCATTCAAGGTCAGCGCCTTGACTAAGTCTTCCACGACTCTTCTAGTCTGAGAACGCGTCGTGGCTCTGGGTTGAGTCGTCGGCACCACCGTTGACGCTCCGCTGCTCACCGCAGGCTCGGGTGACGTCAGGTTGTCGACCGCTGGATCAGGCGAAGGCGTATAATTCTCAAGAACTTCCTCGAGCCCGTCGCTCAGATGTTCCCATTCAAGGCTGACTTGTTCGTCTTCTTCCAACTCTGAAAGTGGCTCTTCTCGCTGCTCCTCTGTCTCATCGTTTGCTGTTACGTTACTCGGCTGGTCGTTTGCCCGTTGTCGTATTGCCGCCGCTATCTTATCAGCCAACCCAGAGAGATTAATTCTAAATTCGCCGAAGTTGTGCCCCTCACTCGTCGCTATCGGCGGAACCGAAAACGCGCCCAAGGCGCTGCTCTGCGATGCTACTTCGGGCCTCTCTAGTTGGCGACGGCTGCTCGTTGCTGGTCTGTGCTGACGTGCCGCTCCATGTCTTTGCTGTATCGCCTCATCTTCTCCGTGCCAAGGTTTTAGTTGATTAAAATGAACTGTCTTCTGATGTTTTCTGTCCGTGGTCGCTATTCGATACGTAATGAGGTTAGGATCGACTTCTGTCACAACGAAAGGACCGGAAAACCTGGGTGAAAGCTTGTTTTGAGAAGGCAATTGAGGAAGTTTCCTCGCTACTCTTTGACCCACGACGAATGGAGTAAATGATTTAGTTGGAGGACGCCAATATGGTTCAGTGAATGGAATCGGTAATTTGGCAGCTGCTTCCGTGAAGAAATCAGCTGGTGCACGTCCAGTCTGCGAGTGAACGGTGTGGTTGTAGATTATCAAAACACGAGTGATGTTTTCGGTCCATGGAGCTTGGTTTTCTGCTCCGGCTACTGCTAGCAAACTCTTCAGGGTGGAATTTAATCGCTCAACACTTCCGTTACAGCTTGGTGCGAAGGGAATGGTCTTGAAATGCTTCACACCATTTCTCTTGAGCATTTCTACAAACGGACGTCCTCTGAACTCAGGGCCGTTGTCGGACGTAACTGTTTCAGGAAGCTTCACGAGAGTACTGAAGATTCGTTCTTCCAAAGCTCTAGCAACTGTGTCTGACCTCTTGTTTCGCAGTGGCACAGCGCTGGCAAACTTAGTATATGTATCAATTCCGACCAGGAGATACTTCACGTTGCCCTTGCCAGGCGGAAGTTCCAGCAAGTCCACAGCGAAATCTTCGTAAGGAGCCTTTGGATGTCGTCGATACAGCGGTGCTCCGCCCTTGGGTCTGCCCTTGTAGCGCTGACACACCCTGCACCGTCTCACCACGTACGTCACGATAGCTGCGAGACGGGGATGAAAGTAATAACGAGAGATGGCCTCGATCGTCTTGTCTCGTCCGACGTGTCCAGCGGCTCTGTGAAAATCAGCGGTCAGTTGCGGCAAGTAACAGGCAGGTATCACGGGCACGGAATGTCGGCCACCACAAAGTATTTTGTCGACTATCCTCAATGTTGACACAAAGTTCACGAAATTCTTAGCTTTCGGCTTGACACTCAACTCGGCACACACTTCACGTTCACTTTTATTTCTGTTCAAACTGGATATTACAAATGAAATAGTTGAATCTTGTGATTGCAATCTTACAATTTCTTCGTTAGACAAATGTAAAGGAAGGGTTTCAGACACTTGATTCGGGTTAGTAACTTTACGTTGATCTACTATGTTCATGTTCACAGGCTGCAATTTCGTCTTCGTAATTAAATCAATATTTGCCGAACCTTTAGTTCTGTCTAGCATACTAGAGCTCGTCGGGGAATCTACTTCTGCTGTCGGTTCCCGACTTTCCGCAGCAGTCTTTAGTTTCCCTTCGGCTTACTCGAACACTTGAATGACTTATGATCTTCACCACCGCACCAAATACACGCTCCGAATTCTCTTTTAAAATCACGACACTGTGCTAACACATGTCCAGGCTTGCTACAATACTGGCAAGTCACACTGGTGGAACTAGGCGAAGTACGATATGGCTGACGTGATTCGTTACGGCTAGGGCAGTTACGTATAAAGTGTCCCGTCTGGTTACACTTAAAGCATCTCTTAGCTCGAACACTGGCATTTGCATCACTGTCATTAAGATTAGGCGACTTACGAACATTTACTTCCGGATTAGTAGCGAGGGGACGAACAGCACTAGCTTGAAATGCATTCACTGGCACAGCAACGGAAGAGCGCGAGATAAAAGGTTCTAATGCTGTAACTAACTGTACAACAGTCTCTAATGAAGGTTCCCGCATGCTTGCCAACTGCACCGAAACTTGCACTTTCAGCTCTGGAGGCAAACTATCCATTAGTTTACTCATTATCATTTGATCTCTCCCTGCTACATCACCAAATGCTGCTGCCGCCAACCCTGCTAAACGCAATGAAAACACAGGAAATGATTCGCCAGGGTGTCTCTGGGCAAGTAAAAATGCCGAAGTCTTGTTCGTACGAAGAAAATCATTTGGCGTAAATAAAGATACTAAATTAGCCTTGACAGCATCGTAATCCAACTGATGCGCGCCCATAGCACTCAAGGAATGTTTTGTCACCGGCCAGAGCTACTATAATTCAATCTGAACGTCAGGCTTTGTAATTCACTATCAGGATCGAATGCTCACCGCTCATAGGCCAGGACAATATGAATAAATTTCAGGCAACTGTGCTCATTCATCTAACCTACAATGCCGTTCAACTCTCCTGGTCATCGTCAGTTAAAGCCGGTTCAAAGGCTGTGGTATATAATCACGACAAAGCACACTTTAAAATAGTTTATTGAATCACTTTGTTTAAAATCAGTAAAACATGGTAAAGGGAAAGCATAAATTCCGACTAAAATAACTATTCTAAGAGACGTTCAAATTGGTTCAATTCAATTTACTATTGCACAGCATTAATGCACGTAGTTAAGGTTACGTTACTTCACATAGGCGAACGGTAGCAGGTAAGACTAAGTTCTCACGGCACAGCCACAACTCCAGCGTTAAGCAAAGAATGCTGAGAGTTAACAGAGCTGAGCGGGTTCAGGTATGAACCTCACTGAAGGGCTGGCGGGACACGACTGCCTACCTGACGCACAGACACTCAGACCTGACCTAGTACTAGACAGTTCCAACTGCTATAGGTCTGACTCGCATGTCACTGGCGCAGCTTCGCCAGACGTAATAGAATAATTTCGTCACAAGAAAATGCACATTGAATAAATTAGTGAACGATGTTCCTCGTTCACACTACATTAATGCGAATAGAAATGAACATCACTTTGAAACAAATATCAAAAGGTATTCAAATCAAACCCAGTGACGCTAGGGTCTTAGCATTTCTACATATCGTCCTGCATTAAGTGGCTAGCGAGTTAAAAAAACTCAAACTGAATCAATTTGTCAAATGATCGTTTGAAAATCATTTTCAGCCAACCTCCAGGGCTTAGCGATGATTATGTGTGGTTAATTGCAACTAATTGATGTGTGATTAATTGCAAGTCATCTCGTCTCGGGGACGACAGAGGCCTTGTCAGTGCAAAACAAATCAGTTCACGCGACAACCACTAACCAGTCGGCTTCATTTGCAACATTTATTGGCTCAATTTCTAATTCAGAAACGACTGAACCCACATACCTGAATTTATTAGTCAATACGCTGGTGATTGTGAAATGAATATAGTTCAGTTGGTCCGTCAAAATGAAGATCACGATCGTGCAAGTTCTAACGAAATTCTAGAGATGATTTTCAATATCGCACAGATGGACAATAGAGGGTGAAAATGTGAATGAGGGTTAAACATAATGTGCATGAGGGTAGAATATATGGGCTGCTCTACTCACCCTCTCCATGAATATCTTGAAGTAACCATCTTCAGACACCGTCCCAAGATACTGAACAATATTACGATGCCGGAGTTCCGAGTGAAGTTTGATCTCTTCGTGCAGCGGTTGCACCTCGCTGAGATAAGACAAGGTGGAGTAATTTGTGCTTGTATCAAGACAAACGGGAATGTAGGGTACAAAACTTTAATAAACTTGGAGCGAAATTGATAGAAGTTACGCTTCGTTATACTTGTCTATGTACTTGTCACTAGATGACAGAGGGCCAGCTTGTCTGGCAGTCTTTATTGTCAAACCGTTGGATGTATAGTCGAGACAATCAAGCTCGATGGGTCCAGAGTCCTTAATCAGAACTGAAGTCACAAAACGAGTTCTGATTATCAACTGATAAACAGTGATAATTAGTAACGGTTCTTGGTTGCTGGTAAGTAATTAGATGAAGAAAAATACAAAGCAAGTAATATAACACTAACACGTCTGCTACACTGATAAGTTTTGGTTAAAAGAAAGCAACAAGTTTCCTGTTTGTTACCACGACTGATGTCGTCCGTCAATAATGTTTCATATGAAAACTAGTAATGTTTACCAATTATTATAAAGATGATATATATTAATTATTAATAGATATATTATAAGAAGGTAAGGCAGCAGCACTCACTTGATCTTCTTCTCAGGCACCTCCTTGACGGCGATGCGCACCTGCATGCTGAGCTCCCGCGCCGCGTACACCAGACCGTACGTGCCCTTGCCCAGCAGCACGCGCTTGTTGCAGTCGTCCAACTCGTACTCGTACTGTACAACACGAGCACATCACCACTGGTATCTCTTAACTCGCACTGTACAACACATCACCACTGACCTTTCTTAAATAGTACTGTACATCATAACACGTGCACAATTAGGAAACTAGTGCTCAGCAGTAACACACCTGTATAGGTCCCCCAGCGAGGTATGAGGGTCGTCAGGGGGTGGACATATCCAGGGGGTCGCTCCATACTGCCAGCAGTCCCCCACCTGTATAGGTCCCCCAGCGAGGTATGAGCCAGCAGTCACCCACCTGTATAGGTCCCCCAGCGAGGTATGAGCCAGCAGTCACCCACCTGTATAGGTCCCCCAGCAAGATCAGCCTCCATGTCCAGGACGGTGGTCTTGTTGTTAGCCGTGAGCTGCAGCACGTGCTTGTAGAAGAGGCTGCACAGAAGCTCTGAAGGGAAGAACATCTGGAAGTCGTCGCTGTCTACGTACAGGAACACGGCGCGCTCGTCTCGCTTGTATTGCCTGCCATCCAAATGTGAAATTCATTGCATGAAATAGTCTTCAAGATTCATGAATGAACAAAATGTTCAAGAATCACGCAGCCGACGCAATATAATTGCCACTAACAAGAGATAAAAAACAATTGATAAATACGGGCAATAGTGATCAGACACAATCATTGGAACAAATGAAATTTGTGGCAACATTTTTGTGGTGTTTGTGGCAACATTTTTGTGGTGTGTCACTAGAAGCAAATAATAACAGAAATTATAAATTTATTGGGACTTCGATGAATTTGACATGCCTTCCACGCGACGCAGAATTCACGGGACAAAAATAGGTAGAAAAAACGTTATTGGCTGACATTAAATGCATTTATAAGTACCAGTAATCAGTGATATGTGACACTCGTAGAGTATTTCAAGTAAGTGCACAGTGAACAAAATAACTAAATACATGTAACAACAAGACAGTAACCATAAGACAGCAATATGTGCCCATGTTCTTGCAGCATAAATGTATGAGGTTCTTAATAACAACGGAGCAAAAGACAGATAGGCTCTCACGTGATGCCCTTGATGCTGGAGGCGACAAAGACCCAGTCGTGGACCTTGCGGCACTCACGCAGGTTCTTGTCTATGCAGAGGTTCTGGAGCTGCAGAGACGCTTCCTCCGCCCCTAAGTTGACAGTCACGTAGCTGGGCTGGTAGAAGCTTGGCTCGTCACGACGCGTTTGTTCCAAGATGAACACCTGACATGGGGGTAAGCTTAGCATATTTCACCTAAAGGCTGAACCAACAAATGTGCTTCTGGTTTAATTAGCTATAATATAAATAATAGGTTAAGGTAGTACTGGATACGTTTCAAATATTTATAGTTATTACAATTTACTAAACAATTTTATCTCTTATAATGTAGGCGAACAGCTTAGACTGAACATATCTGAACGACTAGAACTCCGGGCTTGAAAGGCAAGTCCTATGAGGAAAGATTAAAGATTATGAAGCTTCCAAGCCTCTTTACGGATCAGGCAATAAGTCCAGCAGCTATCTCAATCAATCGTCAGCTATAGAAAGATCGGGTTCCAAAGGCCGGATCCCTTGTGAATCAAGTCACGAAAAAGTTCAAGAATCGGCAACAGGCCATGGGCCTATTTCTTCAACGCCGACACTTCTATTCTATTCTATTCTATAACAGGAGATCGAAACAAGCAAAGTTGCAACACAAGAGCTTCTTCGCTCTAACCAGTTCCTAAATTTGTGTATACGCCATATTGGCTCACTAGAGCCTGATTAACGCTAAGTTCATCCTGATTTATATGATATTGCATGCAGTTCTTGTAGAGTCTTAGCAGTCAGTGATTAAGTGATATAATAGGCGAGAAAAAGTGTACAGCTGAACTGATCTTCAGTACAAGCTGACAGCTAATTATTAAAGAAGAAGTTAAAGCTACGTAAGACAAAATAATGATCCTTTAGTACGGGTAGTGAAACAAATATAAAGGAACATTCCATCTCAATGGTCGGAGAAAATAATAGTAAGGAATAACGATTTTGCAATCAATTCGAGAGCTTGACAAGATGGGCCTTACCATTAGATTTAAGACCAAATGCAACTGAACATAGATGACCTCACTAGGTGGAAACTTAACAGAATGGCTGCATATCATAATTAACTAGTATTATGTAGTTCTAGCTTTTCGTTTCATTCTAAACATTTATAAAGAATATTAATGCTGACCGGAAACCTGATGAGGTCTCCAGGGTCCACTTTGGTGGCGTCCATGAAGAAGTCCACCCAGAAGTTGAATTTGCGCTGGATGACAGTTTCCTCTTTGTTGACCTCAGATCTCTTGCGCGACCGCTGGATCAGCGTGATGTTCCCGATGGTGGATTTCAAGTACCTGAACCCATTGAGAACGTGTAAAAAAGCCTAGATTTTATAGACCAAGTCAATAGAATGCTGAATTATACATAAATTTACATTTTCAATTAACCCATAATTTTCACATACACAAGAAAGAAGAAAAATATTTCAGCTAGAATATAATAAACATGGTGAGTGAACAAATATGTATGTGGGATCGAGAAGTACGAACCAATTAGGAGGCTTGAGCTTGAACATGTACTCTGCGGCCTGCACGGCCTTGCCATAGTCCTCAGCCAGGACGCTGATCTCGAAGAATGTCGCCACATCCCAATAGTCCTCAAGCTTGTCCAGCGACCCTTTCTTGCCAATCAGGTTGTTGAGCACCATGCCTGCGTAGGTAATATACTCGTACAATGATATACAGGCACCATGCCTGCGTAGGTGATATACTCGTACAATGATGTACAGGCACCATGCCTGCGNCGTTGCCAAGCCAGGCTGCTCTGTTACGCGATACGACACAAAGTCGTAGTTCACGCACGAGGACTGCAAGAAACATGACTCATGTTATTAACTAGCCACACATCAAACCATCTAAGCCCCCTAGCCACTCGTAAAGAATATAGAGGCGGTAAATCATTATAATTCATGTGTATTTCAAGCTGAAATGGATAAAACACTTGAGAATAAAAATAAATGTTATGTTCACCGCTACTTAATCAGCTGTGAAAAAGACTTGTTTTTATTATTGTGGAATTAGTCATAAACAATTATTCTCACTAGACAACAATTTTGGCAATTATAATAAAGCGAAATCCCATAGTTATTATAAAACCTGATAAGTTAGACACAGCAATGAGTAAGGTCAATGTGAATTCAAAATCAAACATATAATACAAATAAACTGATGCTCCTTCAAAGAATGACAATTCAAATATTAATAGAATTAAAATTCAGTCTGTCTCTTATACACATCTAGATGTGTATAAGAGACAGGATTTAATTTCTTTTGATAGTATTTTTGAATACTATGCGTCTCTATACATAATTTAAATCACTTTTCCTGTTAAGTTTGTGTACTTACATACATTAAAACTATTTTTCAAGTGTACGAATATTTATTTCCCCCCACTGTAATTGAAGAATCAATCCAAGAAGTTGAGAACAAAAGCACATTAGTTAAGTACAGATAAAAGAGACCAGGTAAAGAGACCACTGCAAGAAACAACGATTCAAGCTAAATAGAATAACTCATATCAATTTGCCAGCCTTCATCAAGTCTACAGAATAAACAAAAAAATTCAAGACATTATAACAAATGGTGGAATATAATTCATCTATGGGACAAGAATTCAAGAACTTTTACATGTTCGAGTCAACGCGTCATTTACCGCAGCATACTTAGAATTCCATTTAAGAATTGTACTCAATGCATTGAGTACATTCGAGTGATTAATACAAGATGAGTGCTTTATCAGTGATTAATACAAACTGTATGAGTGATTATTACAAGAGAGCTGTATGAGTGATTAATACAAGAGAGTTGTATGATTGATTGATACAAGAGAGTTGTAAGAGTGACTAATACAAGAGAGCTGTACGAGTGATTTATACAAGAGAGCTGTACAAGTGATTAATACAAATGAGTTATACAAGTGATTAATACAAGAGAGTTTTACGAGTGATTAATACAAGAGAGCTACACGAGTGATTAATACAAGAGAGCTACACGAGTCATCAATATAAGAACTGTACGACTGATCAATAGAAGAGCTGTACGAGTGATCAATATAAGAGCTACACGAGTGATCAATATAAGAGCTACACGAGTGATCAATATAAGTAAGCTATGCAAGCAATTAATGGCTCATGATGGCATTGGAGGTGCCTGCTGCAGAGAAGCTCACCGATGTGCTGGAGTTCAGAGGATTGAGCAAAGTCGTTGCCAGCGATGACAAGAAGCGTGGCCAGGTTGATGCCAGCGTACTCGTTGGGGTGATCATCGAAGCCTTTCCTGTACCAGTAGATGGCGTTGTTCAAACTTTCAGAGTCTGTGTGGCCAGATTCAACAAATTTGTCCTGAAACAAAAGGATAAGAACTAAAATTTTGGATTTCAGCGACGCTATTTACAGCATAAAACAATCGTGCTGAGAATTAATGACAACAAAGTGTTCAGAGTATCACTTTTTTTTCCATGCCAATGAGTAGTAGGAATTAGTAGTAGCGGTTGTGGTGGTGGTTGTGTGGGTGGAGTTGTAGTGCTGTGGTGGTGGTGTGGTTCTAGGTTGAAATGAGCACTGTGCTCAAATGAGGGCTGACGGCAAACAACATCAGCAAGAATTGAGCGAGACATTTCCAAGTAGGTAAAATTGAATCAATAGCATTCAAGACTTCACTTCTGTTACTGTTTTGAAGGACAATCCTTCACACACTTTCATCTATCATTGCACCTATATATAAGACGGCGTCTCTGTGTGGTACTGTCGGGTGGAATATATAAGACGGGCAGAGACACACCATGTCCGGCACTTGATTCTCCTTCTTCTCCATGGCCTTCGTGATGACGTCAAGCGCTCGCTCGCGGTCGCCCTCTTTGTTGCGCCTGCACACACAATAAACTGTGCAAAAATATCTTCAGTTTAAAATAATATTTCAAATAATACGTCAGCACAACATGACAAAGCAGAACAATGATTGATTATCAAGGCAAGCACACCTGTTAAGTGCAAATCCATAGAGATATCTGATGGCGGGGGTACTGGTGTACAGCTTGCGGTTTGGCAGAGACTTGAGGTAGTCTATGAGCTGCACCATCGCGTCATAGTCCTGAATATGATACAAGGTTAGTGTCATGACGTAGCAATATGATGAGCATCGCGTCATAGTCCTAAATATGATACGAGAAGGTCCGTGTCATGACATAGCAATATGGTGAGCATGGCATAATAGTCCTGAATATTATATGAGGAGGTAACACTCGTGACAAAGATACAGCAATATGGTGAGCAAGCAAAAATTCAGCTGTTTTGTGAACACAAAAATACTCAATCATTAGCATCTATTCAATAAATTGGGAGTGAAACTTCAAGAATTGCAATCAAGATCTTTTTCTTGATGTAGCAGGAATTATGATATACATAAGTAGAATTTCAAATTAGGCGATCAACGTTCAACCAAAAATAAGACCGAAAAACTGTTGTGCCCATAACACAAACCTAGTTCCTAATGAAGAAAGATGAGGGCACATCACCCAATTATATATAGGCAAGATCCTACAGAACAACATACAACAGAATTCAAATTGTGTAAGCATAAAAAGGAGATCAGTTATCAGGAGATCTGACATGTCTCTGCTATAGCCAATATCAGCACAACTTGAGTGTTGTGGGCGCTAGCTGTTGTTGTAGTGTTTTTCTGGTGTGACTATCAGGACTGGGACATGGTCCCTGTCAAGACTTGCCTGAATGTCCCGCAGGGAGAACAGGACTTGCAGCACCACATCCCCGCTGAGGATGTTGGGGTCATCAAGCCTCTTCCTGAGGATGCTGAGCTGCGCCTTCAGGTCAGCGCCGCTGTAAATCTCCCGAGCTTTGCGCAGGTCCGCGAGGAACTTCTCTTTCATGTGGGCTCTGATCAAAAAAGTATTTGAAAACTTTAACAATAATATGCACTGAACAATACACTTGACATATTGATAGGAAAATACTCCACTGATCAGATGACCTCTCAATAGCCTACAATATCAGCAACAATGACCAAGTTCCTTACTTGGCTTGTAACTCGACTTCCTGTAGGAGCTTCTTTATCTTCGTGACGAGTGACATGGGCCGAGTGCTCTCGCCGTCATCAGACTGAGATGAAGAAGGACTCGAGCCTCCACCTACGAGGGCTGTAGTTGACAGTCGGTTGCTAGTGTCGGTCACAATAACCTGCACAAGGACCTCTCATTGCAGTGCATTTAACAGAAATAATTGGCCTCCCACTACCGACAATAATGGTATGTAATTCACGGCTAATTAAACATCTATTAATAAACAACAGCAATCCCACCTGGCCCAAGGCAGTGCAGCTGCTGCTGCTGGCGCTCAAGTGAGTGCCTGACGCTGACGTTGCCAAGCCAGGCTGCTCTGTTACGCGATACGACACAAAGTCGTAGTTCACGCACGAGGACTGCAAGAAACATGACTCATGTTATTAACTAGCCACACATCAAACCATCTAAGCCCCCTAGCCACTCGTAAAGAATATAGAGGCGGTAAATCATTATAATTCATGTGTATTTCAAGCTGAAATGGATAAAACACTTGAGAATAAAAATAAATGTTATGTTCACCGCTACTTAATCAGCTGTGAAAAAGACTTGTTTTTATTATTGTGGAATTAGTCATAAACAATTATTCTCACTAGACAACAATTTTGGCAATTATAATAAAGCGAAATCCCATAGTTATTATAAAACCTGATAAGTTAGACACAGCAATGAGTAAGGTCAATGTGAATTCAAAATCAAACATATAATACAAATAAACTGATGCTCCTTCAAAGAATGACAATTCAAATATTAATAGAATTAAAATTCAGTCAAGGCAAAGAATGCTAATGAAAACCCTAGTAATGCCCACCCTGAGCGCCTTGGTGGCCTTAGCATTGCTGTCGTTGTAGAGGATGATTGTGTGGCGCATGTCAAAGCTCTCACGCACACCCACGTGGTAGAAGAGAGACCGCTGCTGGCACACCACACTTAGATCCACCACAGCCACATCTGCGTTGTACAGCTGATCCAGCACGTTTGTTTCTCCAAAGTCAACGCGCTCATACTGAACAGCAGAGTAGAGCAAGTGATAAGAGGCACAAGTAGCAGGTTGTGCAGCTCATGGTTGTGCACCAAAGGACAGTAGGTATGGTTTTTATAGGGGAGTGTATCATCAACTCTGGTGGGATGAAGAAACATAAAATAACCTTCAGAGAAAAATAAATTGAAATTTCAATGGGTTATGCTAAACCAATACATATCACTAGATCCCAATCAATAAATTAGATCTATACTGAAATATAAATAACTTTTTTTGGCCATATAATATGCAAAACTGCTCATATTGGAGCCAGTTACACTGCAGTTGGTATTCAAGTTGGTATATCAAGAGGATGGTTGAATGAGTTAGCTATGTATATATATTATATGTATATATTACCAACCTGTATATCAAGATACAGTGGGGGGAAATAAATATTCATACACTTGAAAAATCGTATTTTAATGTATGTAAGTACACAAACTTAACAGGATCGAAAAGTGAACATGTTGCATTGTTTTTTGTTGCATTGAGATTTAATTTCTTTTGATAGTATTTTTGAATACTATGCGTCTCTATACATAATTTAAATCACTTTTCCTGTTAAGTTTGTGTACTTACATACATTAAAACTATTTTTCAAGTGTACGAATATTTATTTCCCCCCACTGTATATCTGATGACATAAATGGTCATCAAAACCTGTCCTTCCAAAATAAAGGAGCATTCTTAAGAAAAATTATACTCTAGTCACAAAATTGGCAATATTTCAATATAGTTTGTTGATCTGAAACTCAAAGTTTGGCATTTAAGATAGGCTAAGTCACCATAAGTGAATCTTCAGACAATAAATAAATCATAATCAATAATAAACTTGATTATCAACATGAAGCTATTCACACACTTGAATATGATGGAAGTTTGCTCCGAGTGAATGGCAAGCAGCTTTGACCTCTTCAAAGGCTCTCCGTCTTTGATTGAGGCAGTCCGTCTCCTGCAGATCAATGACGCAAGCCACGTCCATCCTAACAAAAGGTCTGTTGGCAAGCCCTCCAGCAGCATTGATGACACTGCAGCCTCCCGAGATGTCACTGCTGCGAGACCCGAGAGAGTCCGACATGGCAGCAGACTTGGATGGGTGGGGTGGTAGTGGTCACTTCCTTCATAGCAAAGAAATAGACACATCACTTGTACAAAGAAAAAGATTAAACTATGCCAAAAATGTAGCCAAGCAAGGAAATTTGCCACAAATTTCAATTTTTTATCATTTTTTAAGAGAAAAATTGTAACAATATGACAAATAGTAAGCAATGGATGCTTACAAACTTAAACATATATAAGCATCAACTATAAGACAAATTTGAAAGCATTTTCAACAATAAACTGTTGATTAGCTTGTAGCAAATAATTTTGAAATCTCATTTAAAATGAACAGATATTATTTATTCTAGAAATGAACAACTCAAGCAGTACACTTGATCACCAAAATGCAACAGAATCATAGACTAATGGAATAGAATACTGCACCTGAATGCAATGAAAAGTCAGTTTAGTTAGCTAATTTAGTATATAAATATTATTAGATAGAATCATATTTACATGGCAAAAATTGTTGTCATTGGTAACAATACATCTTTTACAAATAAATCACTTTATCATGCTTTCAGATTAATAGAAGGGTCAAATTTGATCATAGAGAAGAAGTAGAGGTTACCAACCTTCATTATTAGATACAACATGCTTGGTTAGTAAGGAAGGAGGGCAGAACGTTGCAACCTTGACAGAGAAGCACCACACGTCAGCGCTTGAACTAAAGAGGACATAAAATGAGAAAAGATAGAAAATACACCAAAGATGTACCCAGAGAAACAACAACAGAAATAGTTAAAAAATATATTTTCAGATGTTAATTCTAAATTTTTTATTCACTGCATTTGATAGATTCATATTAGCAAAAACAATTGCACCAATAAGCAGAAAATTAAAGGCCATTGTACAGTTAAACCACTAGAACTAAAGCTAATTTGAAAACTACTGTTGATACCTCAGAAATGCCAACACTTACAAAAATTTATTCAAAACTCTGACACAACTTCTGGAGATGAAAGATGCTTATCACAGACCAAAGATTTACTGGCCCATTTTTAATACTTGAAAGGTTTAATTTTTCTAGGGAAAACATGTCAATGGACATTGACTGCAACCTAACCTTCAATTTTGTCAGAATGCTCCAGCTTTACTCTAATTCATACAGATAAAATGTGAATTCTATTTCAATAAAGAACACTTAAAGCAGTATGTTTACAATTACAGAAACAATCATAACAGACTGCACTGCTTGATCATTGATGAAGCTTTCAGAGCACAGCCATGTTCAGTGTCAATCTGGCATCTCATTCTATTCAGTATAATTATATTCTAGGATTAGATCATCTTTAATTGAGACATAATATTTACTAGACGTGGTAGAGATTGATGGGAAAGTCCTAAACCTGAGTCAACATGGACATCATGCAATCAAGGCCTCAGTGGAAGGCAGAAGCTATTAACCTATAAAAGGGCTGGAAACCTTAGTAAGGCCCCCGCCCCCCAGTAACTGACATGTATACCACCATGTAATTGTTATTCATTACTTAAAGCTCCTGCAATTTAATGGTCAATACTATCTTATTAGCCTTATACCAATAATATAACTCATGTATTACCAACCCATAACAAATACAAGTTCTCTAGTCTTCATGTTCAGGTAAAAATATATACAAAGCTTACAGGAGCATAAATGTGCCTCCAGAAAATTGGTACCCCCAAACAGTTTGATTGATGCAGACAGCAACAACAACTAGAATTGGGGCACATGATCGGTAGTGGAGAAACAGAGCAATGCAAGTTCAGGTAGAAAATAGTCTCAAGAATAAGTGAAAAATTCATTTGTGAGGTTATGTAATTGGGTAGGTAGATGCTCATTATACATTTGATCTTATTTACAGCTTAGAGTTTTCAACCTGGATTTTTATAATGATGCATCAAATATCCTATTTTCAATCATGAAGAGAGAATTTCATAGTTGCTTTTTAGTCAAGCTTATAATTTTCAAGAAAGCTAAAAAAATTGTTTAGAAAAAGTTACATGAGAATGAAATAACACAATACATTCAATGAAGAAAACATAAATAATATAGGATTAATAAATATAAAATTATTATTCTATTTCATTTCACTGAAATGGATAAGGAAGGACAATTTATTTAAAATAGAAAATTAACTTGTGTACTGCAACGTAAACAAGGGATATATAACAAAATAAAATTTGTTCAAGTTCAATATCAGTTATTAATATTGTATCTTACAAAAGGCAATATGAATTAATTACGTACCTTAGTTCTGGCATCCAAACTTTGTCAGCTTGGATAATAGGTCCTAAAATGTAAGTTGGTTAAGCCCATTGATTAAAGCAGACAGTAGCATTATTATACATAAAAACATGACAATGTCAAATGCATTAAAATTTTTAGGATTTCTGTCCAAGTAATATTTGCATTTAAAAAAGTATCTGTAGAAATCTGTTTAGCTGGAAAATTATATGAAAGTGACAATAAATAAATTCAAAGTTGTACTACACTGTTTGTACAATAAAATGCAATTTGAATGCACAAAAATTAGGTACCTATATGCTTGTGCTGTGCAGTGAGCATTACTGCACATTTTGGTACATCCAAGCTAAATGGCCTCTCTGTTTTTGTTTGGTGCCTGTATTTGCAAGTGGGCCATGGGGTTTATTTTGTCTCCACTGATGTACACACATGTACATTATGTCATAGTGACTATTCTGTCAAAAATTATTACCACTAGGTACTGTGGATAGGGTCATACAATTGTTTGTCTTATTTTGAACAATTTGTACTGTACACAGTCAAGAGATAGTTCTGCCAGGGTAGAATTTGAGAAATGATGATTCATATTCAAGATTAAATCAATGTTAGAACTTTTCTTACTTATTAATTATTACTAAAATTTCGCCATCTCAAAGCAGATAATTATCACTACATCAGATCTAGGGTCATAGCAGCAACCCAGCAGGCTTCTGAAGTTGAAACAACGTTGATTATTGGTTGATTTCCGGTTGAATTGCTGAAACCAAAATTAAATGTCATATCAACATCAAAATCTTACCAACACTAGAAGGGATGTGAAACAACTTTCTTTAAAGGTTGAAACAACATTGATATTGGTACGTTGAATTTATACTGATTTTTAAACATTGAATCAATGTTGATTAAAGGTTGAATTCCTGAATAACCCAAATTAAATGTCCAATCATCTTTGAAATCTGACCAAAACTAGAATGGATGTAAAACAACCTTATTTCATTGTCGATTTAAGGTCAATATTGGTAAATTTAATTATCTTCAAACATTGAATCAATGTCAATGTTTGGGTTGTTCATCAATGAAAAGTCGATGGTACATTGAATGTTTAGTCATTTTTAAACGTTCTATCAATGTTGATGTCAGGTTGAAATGCTGAACAACCAAAATTAAAGGTCCCATAAATGTCAAAAACTGACCAAAACTTGAAAGGAAAGAAAACAACCTTATTTCAACATTGAAAATTGGTCAATATTGGTACATTGAATGATTAGCTATTTACCAGCATGGAACTATTGTTATCACACCAACATTGAATGAAATACATGTATATAAGTGTACGATTATTGACCAGAGAATGCATTCAAATTTTCAAGGAGTCGAACAATTCTTTAGCTTATTTCTTTTGCTCATGCATGTGAGCTGCCATGGTCAAGGTTGCAAAGGCGTTGCGCAGTCTTCAACAATCCCAGGTTTGAATCCTGCTACGGACAAAAAACAGTTTGGTTATTCAACGTTGATTCAACAGAGAATTTGACGTTGCAGCAATGTTGTAGTAGGAATAAGGCAATGTTATACAATCAAGGAATATCTCTCAAACTAACAAACTTAATGAAACTTGGTACATGTACCGGTATTCATAAGGAACTAACAACCATGTTTAGCTGGTGAAAATTTTTTAAATTTCGCCTTCATTCCCAAGTTACATGGCAATATGGGCCAAAATTTGCAGTGATCAAGGATTTTATTCCAAACTACTGAACAGATTTGAACGTAATTTGATTATATATACATTCCTAACTACCAAATGGCGATGTTTAGCTTGTGAAAGATTTTTATTTTGCATTTGTTTCTGATTTTTTTTTTCATTTCACCTTCATTTATGACTTAAACAGCAATACATGCTTAAATTTGCAGTGATGGAGAAATTTCTTCTAAACTACTGAACAGATTTTAACGAAACTTAGTATATAAATACCTAACCTCAGCAACGGTGAGGTTACCTAACCCTAAGGGTGGCAATGGATACCTAACCTCATAATGGTGATGTAAATCACTGAAGTTTAGCTTGGGACAATTTTATCAATTTTGATTTCATTTGCGAGTTATACAGCTACCAACAAATGGGGTAATAAGGGATGGTTTTGAGCATTTTTTGTTAATAACTTCTCATAATGAAACATTTCATAAACAAGTTTAGGCTCATTATATAGCTCTTTGAAAGGGCTATCAAATGGCATCTCTAAAAATTCCATATGCTATTTGTAAGGTGCCAGACCCGAAATAAAAGCGTCCCAAATTTCCCCTGGGAAAGGGGTAATCTGGGACACTTGAAGTAAAACGCAATTTTGAAACATTTGAAGCATGCAAAGCGTACTCATCCAATACTAACAGTACTCTGAAGTCCTCCTCTACCTTTGTATATGATGTAGATCAGTGGTTCCTAAAGTGGGCACCGGGCAATATTGCCCCCCTAGCAGCAGTGGAAAGATCCGGGGTGGAAGGAAAGATCTTTCTTCCTATGTGAGGAAGAAAGGAACAGTAGGGGCAAATCTGTTGAGTAGTTTGGAAAAAATTCATTGATCACTGCAAATTTTGGCCCATACTGCCATATAACTCTTGAATGAAGGTGAAATTTACAAATTTTTCACAAGCTAAACATCACCATTAGGTCCTAATGAATATGTGTTCCAAGTTTTGAGATTCACTCAAACTTTGAAGATTCACTGGGGAGCCAGGGAATTTCACTGGGAAGATTCACTGGGTAATGTTAGAGTTCACTGGGGAGCCAAAGGGGTGCCAGCTTGAAAAAGTTTGGGAACCACTGATGTAGATTCTGTGATTTTTACTTGTTTTTCCTTTATTGGTATGATACGTGATATTTTTCCTTTATTTACTTGTTTTTCCTGTCCCAATTTACCCTGCAAGCCCTTATTACCTCATTTGAAGGTATCAATGTTATACATATATGGTTCTTGGTTAAACCGGCTGGTCTAAATGCTGGTTGTTTCTCCGTTTATCTGTATAACTTGCAAAAGAAGGCAAAATAGGAAAAAAATTGTCACAAGCTAACATTACCATTGCTAAGGGTATTTTTTATGTACCAAGTTTCATTAAAATCTGTTCAGTAGTTTAGAAGAAATTTATTGACCACCACAAATTTAAATTCAAGTGACAAATTACTTGGGGCTGTACTTTCAAAACTCGCTAAGTTAATGTAATTACTTGGGGCTGTACTTTCAAAACTCGCTAAGTTAATGTAAGTACTTACGCTCTATTTTCTTGTCTATGATTGGTGGATTTTGCTTGAAAGGCCAACCAGCTGTCAATGATTGGCTAATGAACTTGTGATCTCTTAGCTTTTTTTGAAATTATAGGCCTTGGTCGTTGGTCCTACTCCTACCAGGACCTAAGAGGCAAGGACAAATAGCCTGAGGCTTGCCTAGATGGTAAACCTACCAGAATAACCAGACTACCAGTGCCAGTGGGCAGTTGTTCGTTGAGACCATCACGCTTGCCGGGGGGAGGCTCTGGTGGTGGCCAGGGGTAACGAACCTGAAGAGGGGGGAGATGGGCGAAGGCAGGGCGGGTGGCCAGGAATGCCGCTGCCTCCACAGGGCTGTCCCACAATGAGGAGACGCTGAGGGACATGGGGAAGGCGGGTCAGGCAAAGAGGTGCTGGAGAGGATCCCTGCACTCTAGGCAGGTGGAGCTAGGGAGCGTCCGATCCTAGCAGAGTAGGACGCCATGGAACTGCAGTATCCTGAACAGAGCTGGGATAACGCCGAGTGGTAGGGGCGAGGGAGTGAGGCCTCCACTGATGCAATCGGCAGTGGCGAGGCTGCGAGGACAGCGTTTATGGCGTCAGTCACCGCAACGCGAGAGGCAATCTCCCTGCAGGCGGACTGCTTGGCTCCCTAGGCACTGGCAGGCATTATACCATAAGCCAAGAATGGTGTGACCAGGTGACCAAACCTCAACTGGATGGAGGCCTTCATGGGGTGGTCCCCAGGGGAGCAGAAGCAATGCGGAATGAGGTATGGGAATGGGATTGCTGGAAGGCACTGGCAACTGGCAAGGAACTGGGCACAAGCCAGGTCCAGGTGCGAGGATAATGGGTGGATGCCTCACGCCAGTCTCCTGGTGAAAATGGGCGATCGGAGCCATTTTGAGGTAGCCGGTGACTACTGGCTAGTCTCAATCATCAATGCAGTGTTTTGTTTTCTTTGCATGTTGTTGTTAATTGCCTGGGACCACTGCTCAATGGCGCCCACGAAGAGGCAGCAGCTCTGGGGGAGGAGGGGTGAGTGGAGGTTCCGCTCCAAGGATGTCGGCGAAGGATGGGAGAGTGGAGAGGAAAGCCGCAGTCAGTCCAGGGTTAGACCAGAGGTCCAGTGGGGTCAGTGAGGTGGGATACAAAATGCAGCTGAAGAGGTGATGGGTATTGGGTGGAGTGGTCTATTGTGCCACACTCATGGCAGAGTGGGCTGTTGGCTGCACTGATGCGGGCAAGGTACAAATTGAGCCACGATTAGTAGCTGGAGCAGAGCTGGAAAAGGGCTTTTCTGGCTGCCCTGGGGAGGGATAGCTTGCTGGATGAGACAGTGGGGGCAGGGGTCAGCACTCAGCAGCACCTTGTTGGTAGCTGCTGAGGGCTGCTAGCCTACCAGGGGTAGGATGAGACAGAGAAGCTGTGAAGGGTGCTGAGGGCAGCACCCACTGACCCACAGCAGAGTAGGTGTCGAGAGGGGGGGGGAGGGATCCCTCTTCCAGCAGGTAAGACACCAAAGGGAGGAAGCAGGACTGAAGCTTGTGCTTCATGGGACAGGGCCCTGATGTCTGGAGTCTGTGAGTGTCCAGTGGCCACTGGTGGGTGGCCAGTCCTGCCAGGCTGCCACTGCCAGCTGGCAGCTGCCTTGTTGATCAATTTTAACGAGCAAAGAAAATATATCCTGATTAGGTGAAGATGTTAATGAAGATGAGTGTGATCATTCAGACGGAACCAGGCTTGAGCCTTGATCTTGATGCTGGACCTGGACAGACCCTCTGCCAAATTATACTCGTGGACTTAGTCGTGATAAATTACCACGACTAAGTCCATGAGTAGGTATATTTAGCAAAGCAGGGCGTTTTTTAGACTCTCCTTCAAGTTCAATTTCAAGACCTATAAGTAAACCAGCAAACTATCATCATATCATGGATACCAGGCATTACCACTTACCAGAATACCAGCATCACCATACATGGGTAAGATATTGGTTTAAATCTTGAGTAAATGAGAAAATTAAAAATGAACTGATTCTAAAAAATCACTGGTTTGCCAATATGCGTGGTATATACATAGAATTCAATAGAAGTAACAAGTATAGTCCAAGATCAAGTAATAGCTATGTGATTTGCCGCACGCCGGTTAACAATTATTTGCCGTTTAACTTTAGTCTTTACGCAATCAAGTTTCGAGGGAATCAAGTGCGATAGGCCGATAGCCGATAGACAGTTGGACACTTGTGAGTTGTGACAATGTGACTTGAGTTGAGATGTTCTTTGCTCAACAAATGAATGAAATCAGCCAAATTTTGCAGTTTTGCACAAGCACAACAGTAAGTAATGTGGTTCCGTACTTGTTCACGGCTTATCATGATAAAAATAGTTCTACCTAGTATCAAGCACGTGATAGATTTGTTGTTGTGATGATCATGATGATGATGTCTTATTTGAGCCTTGAGGTGTAGTAAATGATGGTAGGTTAATGACCTCACACTCACACAGGTCGGTTGTCACACCTGGACATGACAATTTATTTCAGGCTTGTAGTTGCATTATCGGTTAGGAGCCACTTCATTTGCTTTGACTATTGTGACCTCACAGGGTTTCCAATCTTCCGGTGCTTGCGAGGAATGCAGACAAATGAGACAAAGCCCCGATTATGAGGTGCTGCTCGTGCTCCCGTTTTGCGATGTCGTCACGACGTCACCTGAGTAGTGACTAGTGAGTACCTCCAGCTCCAAGCAATGCGCGCACTGTTAGCACCCCAATGCCAATGTTTTCCAAGGTCTGCCTCATTAGTTGACGAGCATCCCTGTAGCTGCTACATTCCAGCAAGAAATGATCGATGGTTTCTTCCACTCTGCATTGTTGTTGTGAGATTGATGTAAGAGGCGATCAGGCGAAGAAGTACCTAGCCGCACGATGACCACTTGTTACACCTAGAGACTAGACTCGGCAGATTTTATTTGGGAAGTGTCAGCCTGTCAGTATTATGTTTCAAATATTCTTAAAGATTTTTGCAGATGGTCCTATGTTTTTAAATCAGAGCTCAATGCCTCAAACCATGGGTGGTGGTCATGAATTGGCCGTACGTAGACAAAATAACGAATTCTGAAACCGAAACAGACGAATTTATGAAACGCGGATCAGAGCTTTCTACGAACAGTGTTCGTAGACGTATTCTGTCATGGTTGAATTTAGTTCAACCATGTATTCTGTCAAGTGATTTTAGTTCTGTTGTTGAGGTTGAGCTCTCCTCCTCCATGAATTCGACCTTTTTCGAAGATGCTTTTTGATCCGTTCGAGTGTACTTAATAAATACAGTACTTATATCATTAGTCTGCTTATATCGCAAGTTCACAAGGAATTTAAAAGCAAAGAAAACGCCAAGAAAATTCACCATATCGATATTGAAAACGTTTCGGAGTCCAGCTCCATCATCAGTTCGACTAAACTAAAAATGAATAAAATCACTTTAAAAGTCAAAATTCAAAGACAGACATAAAACCTAAACAA